AAAACTTTGTGTGTTTGGTGAAGCATGATACTGTTCTTTGGCACTTCACTGGGGCAATAGCGTATTATGCTTCTCTTTTTTTATTGCTGGGAATTTATAGTAGAACTCCATCATATTGGCTGATCTGCAGAGGGGATAGACCCCCTCTCTCAGTACTGTCAGCTGAGCCCAGGGAGCACTGATCCACGTATACACCAGCCCCCTTTCCTTTTTATTTTGAGACAGGATCTTGCCAAGTTGCCCAGGATGGATTCAAACTTGTGATCCTCTTGCCTCGATCTCCTGAGAAGCTGGGATTACAGGCAAATGCCACCATATTGAGAAAAATATATATTAACACTTCTTTTCAATATGGTCCCAGGCATGTGTTGCTGTGTGTTTATGTCTGATATTTTGAACTAGTTAAGGCTCTCTTTTGAAAGTGTCAGAAACACAACTCAAAGGAACCTAAACCAATGAAAGAGAATGTATTAATTTGTTTATTGGCTCAGCTTCCCCTTGCAGTGTGCCCTTCACCCTTTCATTAATTTATTTATTGATGGAGGCTTTGAGTATATATGTATGTATAATCATGTGCCACTGTACACACAACAGTGGACCCATGAGATTATATCACCTAGTGACATTATAGCTCTCTTAGTTTGTGTGGTACACTGAATATAATGTTCATACAATGACTACATTACTTAACAATGCATTTCTCAGAATATATCCCTGTTAGTAAGTTACATATGACTATATATATTTGTTTTTTAAAAAGCTCTTTGGGGCTGGGGATATAGCTCAGCGGCACAGCGCCTGCCTGGCAAGTGCAAGGTTGTGAGTTCAATTCCCGGTACCGGAAAAAAAAAAAACAAAAAAACAAAAAAACAAAACAAAAAGCTTTTTTATCCTGACTCTGAAAAATTCAGATTTGAAGTAAAGGATATTGCTTTGTGCTACAGAAAGAAATTTAATAGAAAAATTACTGTGCAATTTAAATATTTGATCCAATTTGTAGGTTCTAAGTGCATTATAGCAATTATGTTCTGAGTAAATTTGTTAATAAGATCAAATAAACTTATTTTTGTAATTTTCATCTTTTCAACTTTTACTTTTTAGACAATTATTTGATTAAACCTCTGGAAACAAGGAGTATCAAAGTCATACTTAGGACCAGCATGTAGCATGGGAAATATTATGTGGCCATCTTTGGAAAATATGTCCTCTATCAATAAGTATTCCTAATTATCTAGTAAATTTTAAATTCTTTTCAGTAAGCTTTCTGTAGGACAGAAAAGTGTATCACAGAAGCTGTAAAATTCCACCAAAATGGCAGGATGGTCCCTTATGGCCTTACTACGCAGTTTCCAAAAGATATCCCAAAATACTCTTTGAATATATTTTCTAAAGAATATTTTTACAAATTAAAATATATTGGGAAACTGAATTTTTCTCAGACAAAGAAAAGAATAAAATCTACTAGGAAATGAAGTATGGCCCAATGTAAGGTCACTGAGGACTTCTTGTTATGTGCAAACAAGAACCAGAGCTATTAAGTTATAGCCATGACACGTTATATTTCAGGTTAGCCTGCATTTATTTTAAAAGCTCAAGAAAGATGCACACAGATTTAAGGCTGAGACCTGCTATACCAGGGAACATAAAATTGCAACTGAAGACAGCAGGAAAAAATTTATTGGAAAGAGCTGAGCATCACAAATATATATTTTATAAGTATTTTGGCCCTTATTCTGTTCTGTAATTTAAATACTGTACAATGGTTGATTTGTAACATGGCATTTGGAAAAAGAACCACAGCCTTGTAACATAATGGAATACACATTCTGACATGAAACTGAATATATTCATGAATATATTCAGGTGAATATATTTGCATATTCCACATAGCTTATGTTATGGTTTGTGTCTGGATGTCCCCCCAAAGCCTCATGTGGTCACAGGTGGGGTTTTTCAGAGGTGGCTGAATCTAGAGTGTGTGATCCTGGGATTAAGGTGTGTGATTACTAAATCAGTACACTGATTAGTTTAGTACCAGCCTAAGCCCAGTAGCCTAGATAGAGTATAAAAGGGGTAGGGCCACCTTCTGCTCATCATGAATTGTTTCTCCTCTGTGAAGCTTGTTTGCCATGCTACCCTGCCTTGGAGCCAGCTGATCATGAACTGAAACTTTTACAAACTGTGAACCAAGTAAACCTTTCCTGGCTTAAATTTGGGTGTCAGATATTTTGTCTCAGCAACAAGAGAAAAGTAACTAAAACAGAATTTTGTACCAGAGAAGTGAAGTCATTGCTGTGACTATACTTGACCATGTGGTTCAGGAACCTTTGGGAATGGCATGTGGGAAGAATTTGGAAAGGTTCAGAGAAACCGCCTGAAAAGTAAAACTGGAATGCTTTAGGTAGTACTTGATGGGAGATTCTGGTCAGAGCTCAGAAGACCAGAAGGCTGGTAGAAATTCTGCCAGTAAAGACCAAACTCAGGAGGTTTCTGTTGAGAAGAAGGACTGCATTAGCTATTGGACTTTAGATGATATGTATTATACCTTGGCAGAAAGTTTGTCTGCATTTTTCTCATGTCCAAAGACTATGCCTGAGACCGAGATAAAGGGTGGCAGAGTAATTAATCTTACAGAAGAAATTTCAAGGCAGTCTAACCTTGAGATGGTGGCATGACTCCTGTTAGGGGCTTTTATCCAGATTTATGTTGAGAATCAAGAGCAAAGAGCCAAACAGAATGATTGAAAATGTTGTGATTTGGGCCAGAAAGGAAGCTCCAGTAAAGTTGCAGCCTGCAAAAATGGAACAGAGGAGAAAATGGTTGCTAAAAATACTAGTAAGGAAAAACCAAGTGTTTCAGAAGAAGACAACAGAAAAGATGGCCTGAGGACATCACAAAAACCAACAGGACTGTTGCCTTTGCAGCCTCAGAATTGCAAAGGTGAAAGACTTTGCTTTGAGAAGAGACTCCTAGAGTACCATTTCCCAGAATGGCAATAGTCTAGGAAGTTGTTCCTTGGGATTTGGTTCATAGGCACTCAGCTCCTATAGCCAGGAAAGAAGGAAGCCTGCTTACTTCTCTAGCTTGTGGAACACCTTAGCATCATCGACATAGTGCTGGTTTTATGTGCATGTGGAATGCAAGAGTTGTGTGGTCAGGAAGACTTCCACCCAGATTTCAGAAGAAGGCGTGGGTGGCCAAGCAGTGTGTCTCTGACAGGGCAGTGTGTAAAGCTGTGAGTGTGGAGCTAAAGGTACAGTGGAGACCCCAGAAGTTTGGATAAGCCAGGAATATGGGCTACATGAGGAAAACTTGGAGGAAGAGGCAGAGCAGGCCCAAGAGAGAAGCCATGGGAGCTATAATCACCAGAAGTGCTGTAGTGGTAGAGCTACCCAAGCCCTTGGGAGTTCACATCTAGCACAGATTGCTTCAGATGGTGGACATGGAACTACAGGACTTAATATTTGTCCTGCTGGATTTTGGACTTGCTTTGGTCCCATTCCTTTGTATCCCTCTATTTGTACCTTTTAGAATGGTAATGTTTATCTTGTGCTATAGAAGTGTTTAACATTCTTTTCATTTGTACAGGGGCTCCCAGCTAAGAGTTTGCCTTAAATCTCAGAGAGGACATGGACTTTTCAGTGATGCTGAAGTGTTAGGATTTTGGCAACTCTTAGAAATGAACTAAATGTCTTTTGCATAAAGGAATGTACATGAGTCATAGGGGGCCAGGTGTAGAACGTTATGGCTTTTGTCTAGATGTCCTCCCAAAAGCTTCATGCAGTCACAGGGGGGCCTTTTTCCAGGGTGACTGATTCTAGAATGTATGATGCTGGGATTAAGGTGTGTGATTACTAAATCAATCCATTGATTGGTTTGGCACTGACCTAAGCCTAGTAGCCTAGATAGAATATAAAAGGGGCAGAAAGAAGCTGCTGAAGTCCCTTGCTTGTTTTGCTATCTTCTGCCTGCCGTGAGCTGTTTCTGTTTTGCCCCTCTGCCATGCCGTCCTGCCTTGGAGCCAACCAACTACTGGACTGAAACCATTACAGAGTATGAGCCAAATAAACTTTTCCCTTTCTAACTTTGGGTGTTGGGTATTTTGTCTCAGCAATGAGAGAAAAGTAGCTGTAACAGTTGCTATGAAAGTTTTTATTGGATTTCTTCCTCAAAAGTTTGGTTTATACTTCATTCAATTCAGATTTTCCAGTAATTTTTTTTTTAGTCTCAGCATACAAAGGATAGTGGTTGAGAGTCCAGGCTTTGGAGTCACACGCATCTATCTGACTTCAAAGGAGAAATGTGCCCATGACTGTTCACACTTGAATGAGAAACCATCCCTGCTTTGGGAAGCCATGTTGCATTTTGAAACCTCTAGAGTGCAAAAGAAAGACCACTGAGTCAAGGGGCAGGGAAGTAATTTTAGTTCAAATCTATTCATTCTTACTGTCTCAATTTCTGTCTACATTTCAGGTTTCCTTATTCTTAAATTAATAAAATGGAGCTAATGATATAATTCCTAACACAAGATAAATGTGGGAACTTTATGTACTTTCTCAGTGAGAGGTATCACTATTAATTTGGTAGCATTAGAAATGTTATTGAATGTAGTACAGCAGTATACAGGCATTCAAACAGTGGTGAAAAGTTTATGAAGTTACAGATCAGATATAGCACACATGCACTGATGTAGAGAAAATGTTATTCTCCAGCAGATGATAGGAAAATTCCTCCTAGAGAGTCTGAGGCTGGATGGGTGGTTGGGGCTGCCCCTGAGTGTCTTGGAGTGAGAAAGTTTCAGGCAGAGCAACTGGAAAGACCTCTATAGATACATGGAGGAATACTGGGACTGGGATCGATGCTCCGTGAGACAGACTCTGCAGCCCATAACAAAAGCAGAAGGGAGTGGCCCAGGGATGAGAGAAAACACTGACCTGTTTCCTTTTTTACTGCAGTCAGTCATTTCATGTCTTTTGCTGTATTTTCTCTCCACACTGCAGGACATCAGGAAGCCATAGCAGTGTGCCTACACATCCAGACCCAGCAGACAGTCAACGATAGCTTGTGTGACGCGGTGCACCGGCCCCCGGCAATGAGCCAGGCCTGTAACACAGAGCCCTGCCCGCCCAGGTATGTGGGGCGCAGCTTCAGGGTAACAGCCTTCCATGCAGACAAAGCCACCTGTGCATGGAAACCCCAGGCTTGCCCAGGGTGGAGCGGCAAGCCTCTGTCACTTCTCCCTCTCCGCTCGGTCCTGCTCCTTTGGATCCTGGCAGAGAGGTTCACAGGCAGCCTCTGTGAGCTGCAGTCCTCTTAGGCTGACTTTCAGTTGCATCAAACACACATGAACATACAATGACCTGCTAATGGGAACGATGAGGTCAGTGAGTTTGTTCCCTTCTGTGTCCTGTTTCTTCCTTTAATACCCCATCAGAGAGTATAGCATCTGATGTTGAGTTAGCATTGGTCTGCAGTAAGTGCTTAATCCATAGTTGTTGAACGGCTGAGTGATCACCTATTTGTCACCTAGGTCACACTATGGTTGCTATCTTCCCTGTTGACTTTTCTTGGATCTCTGATTGTGATGTGTACTGCAGTGCTGCTACCCACAAAGAACAGAAGCATAATTTCTTTTTGGTCTCATTCGTCTAAAAGACTGATTTTAAAAGTCAACCTCACTGGTGCCTAAGTTCTTATAAGAGCCTGGGGAATGTTATCAGAAGGGAGGTAAAGCGTCCCCATGTTGCTCGGATCCTGGGTCTTGCTGGTTTTAACACTTGTGAGGCATCATCACTGGCTGGTCACATGTAACCTCTTCAAATACAGCCCCCGTCTTCTTCCTCCTGCCCCCTTGGCTTTGATTACCTCAGCCACCCTTCTGTTCTGAGACTTAGTTACTGAAAGATTATGAGCCGGTTCCATCCCCTCCTCTCTTTGCTGGATTCCCTTCCCTGCTTCCTAGGAAATACATGACCTCTCCACCCAGGTTCCTCAGTTTGCTACAGGTGAGTTTTCCTATGTGTAGGGCCTGGGGCATTGAGGAGGTTTACTGTGTCTAATATCGGCTGTGCTTCTGGAATTCTCCTGAGCCTTCTGATTTTGACTCTGAAATCTGTCATGTGGAATCTCCCACACTGATGGCTGAGGGTGTTGAGGGTGGGGCAGAGAGGTCAGGCCGCATGGACAGCGGGCCCTCCACACCCTGGAGGTGGGTGCCTTCACTGGGCTTCTGTTCTCTGACCTGCAGTGCACTGGGCAGTGTTGTGTCCACTCCATGCTTCTGACCTCAATGGGAGCCTGAGGCTGCTATGCTAGGCTGAGACTCACAGTGAACCCTGTAGGCTCTGGTGAGCGAGGCAGGCTAGAAGCACAGGGGAAACCCTCGTCCCTGCTGCCTCCACGCTGGCCTCCAGGCTTACAGTACCCACAGCAGTCACACCAGAGTCTCACTGCGAAGGGCTGAGATCAAAGGTAGCACCATCAGCTCTTGCTGCCCATGAGTTCCATACCCACGGATGTGCATCACCAAAAACATCTGGGAAATGGGCAGAGGATGGGGCTCAGTGTAGAGCACCTGCATATGCAGGCCCTGGGTGCCATCCCAACAAACAAACAACAGCAACAGCAGCTGTTGCAAACAAACAACAGCAACACAAAGAATTTGTATTTGTGCTGAATATTCACTGACATTTTTTTCTTGTTGTTATTCCCTAAACAGTACTACAACTGTTTACATAGTAGTTACATTGTATTAAGTACTACAGTACTCTAGAGATGATGTAAAGTATATGATTAGGGTGGCTGAGGCAGGAGGATTACAAGTTTGAGTTTTCTGGAGCAATTCAATGAGACCCTGTCTCAGATGTTCAAAAAATAAAAATATAAAGGGCTGGGGATATAGCTCAGTGGTAGAATACCCCTGAGTTCAATTCTCCCAGTACCATGGGAGGAAGGAAGGAAAGAAGGAAGGAAGGAAGGAGGGAAGGAAGGAACGAAGGAAGGGAGGGGAGGAAGAAAGGAAGGGAGGGGAAGAAGGAAGAAAATATGGAAAGGTGGGTTAGGCTGTTGCAGAGATGACACCATTTTGCTTCAGGGACTTGAGCATTCATGGGTTTTGGTGTCTGCAGGGCATGGGGTCATCTCAGCATCTCCCTGGCAAGTACCAAGAATGACTGTATGATGGCAGTGTTTAGTATGTGTCTGCATGGAACAAGCTTTCATCTCTAGACACCTGTGCTAAGTAAGAAACCTCAGTACTCTAAATCATGGATTTGGGTTCTGCGGGGGCTTCTTATTCTACTGCTGGAGCCACTGACTGGAGTATTTTGGGAAGAGCTTTAGGGTCTGCTTTCCTCCTGCTGTGAGGGAATCCAGTGGTGACCTGGATTAGAATGTGGCTGGTCACCCATGATCCTTATGAGGCTGTGGAGCCTGGTGGGAGCCCTGAGGTCCCAGGGGCACTGTCCTGGGGAGAGACAGAGGTGGTGTTGTGACACCCTCTCCCCAGGGGAGTGAAGCTGCTGTAAAGCCTGACCTGGCCCTGCCCAGCTCCTTGGCTTCTGGCCCCACTGTGTGGCCACTGTTTCTGCCTGAGCACGGTCCATGTCACCACTCTCTGCAGCGACAGGATCCACACCCTTGAACCTCTAGAACTGTGAGCTAATACACCTCTCTTCTTTGTAAAGTCAGCCCGCATCAGGCATGCTGTTATAGTGATGATGACACTATCTAGCGCAGGAAGTGAGGGGAAATGCTGGGAAGGTAATACAGCTTCACCTGTCAACATATTTTCGCAGGAAACTGGAATCATGGCTCATCTTGTATATGTGCTGCCAAAGCAAGCATGGATTGCATTGTCTTGTAACTCTTCTCCTTCAAGTCAGACTTGGGATGGGGGCAGGAGGCAGATGATAAACAGAAGCCTAAATAAGTGTGTCACTTAAATTATAATACAATATGTGATATTTTTATACAATGGAGCATTACTCAGCTGTAAAGAAATATAACCTCGAGGCTTTTATAGGTAAATGGATGTAACTTGAGACCATACTCATAAGTGAAATAAATCAGACTCACATGTGTAAACATCACATTGTCTCGTTAGTGTGAGAAACTGAAAGAGTAAATACGACCCAAAAGGTACAATAGATATTGTGAAAGGGAAAGAAACTGCTCAAAAGGAAAGAACAGCTAGGATGGGGGAAATGAAAATAGAAGGAAGGAATATATATATGTAGTAGCTAAGATAATTGTACTACTAATTTCTATTAGTTCACTGAAAGGAACAGTTAGTGTTTATATTGTTTGATCAGTCTTACATGCTTATATCTGGTACTTTGAGCAACTACTTTGAAGATAACAATATGCAGTATAATAACCGTTGTTAATTTCCTATCATCTGGTTTTGAAATTCTGTACCGTTTTTGTTTTTTAATTATCTTTAAAATTACAAAAATTATAATAAATGCTCTAAGGAAAAGTAAATCAGCACCTCAAGAGCCAGAATAATACAAGAACCTAAAACAGATTGATGGAGTGGAATGGGACTTGTAGGTGGTCAGAGAAAGCCTCTCTGGGGAGACATGGAAGTTGCAACTTAGAAGACAAATAGGAATTGGTGAGAAGTCAGAGGAAAGAGTGTTCTGAGCAGAGGGAGCTGTGTATGCAAAGTCCCTGAGGGAAGAAGGGTGCCAGTGTGTTCAAGGACCAGGATGGAGAGGCAGAAAGTGAGATCATACACAGGCAAGTCCAGGTGAGCATTCGGGCCTCATCCTGAGGCTTGGTCGGAAGCCATTGGAGGGTTTCCCCAGTGAAAGGAGAAATCAGATTCTGTAAACATTGCCCAAACTCTGAAATGAGGACCACAAGGGCAAATATGATAAGAACAATTAGATTTTTTTAAAAATTCCTTTAGGTACACAGCTCACCGCCCAGTGCCCCTGAGGAAAGCGCGCCGCCATGTGAAGCTGCGGCTCTTCTCATTTCCTTTTAGTTACACAATGATGAAAATAGTCTTCGGCAAAATGGTTGATTCTGTTGCTCTCTTTGTAGCCATGATGACCATGGCATTCCTGCTATGTTTTGCGGAAGTGCTCAGAGTATATAATGCTGCTTCCTGAACTAGACCGATATGCATTGCTTAAAGCCAACTGAAGGGATAAGAAAAAGTCCTAGCCAGCTCTGTACATATCAATACATGGAAATAGGGTCAGGCTCAGCCAAAATGGAGGCAACTGCTCCTCTTTCAAGGAGAGTTGCCTAAGTGGGCTTAGCAGCAGCCCTGAGAACATGGGTGAAACTCTCCAGTTTATTTCCTGTGGGTCATGCTGTTATCCTGTCCTCTGGGAGGGAAGGCAGACGTAATGAGGCATCATATTATCTTTTTAAAAAAATGCCTGAACACAAACAATTCACAAGTTATTCTCTGCTTACTTTAAAATGAGTGCAAAGTTGCCATTACAAATGAAATCACTTTCAATATGAGATAAATAGCTTGACTTCATAATCTTGCAAAACTAAGTCCAAATCAAACACATCATGAGATCTGAGTGTTTTTCAAAGCATTAAGTGCTTTTTCTGGTTTCTAGTTCTCAAAACACATGGACCTGCAATTCTTAACAGTTTACTTGGTACTCTGTAAATCTACCTTATTCATTCCATAATCTGCCTTCATTCAGATTATGTTTCATTTTAAATTTTCCAGTACTTCCTAAAGAAGAACTACCTCCCTCTCTCTTTTCTTGCGCCAATCCATAGGCACAGGTGTGACTATGAAAATTGTCATCTGCCTCAATCAGAGTGACCAGTACCCTCTCACAGAAAGCCCTCCAGTGACATTCCTTTGCTTGTGGATTAAAATCCACATTCTTTCTACTTAGGTGTGTGGATTCCTTTCCGGGGGCTGCAGGAACAAGTGCTATAAACTGAACAGAAACTTCCTGCTTCACAGATTTGGAGACCAGACTTACAAAGCAGGGTGGTTTCCCCAGTCCTGGCCTCTCTCTCAGCTTGTAGCCTCTGCCATTCCCAGGCATGTGAATGGTGCACTCCCTGTGATTTCATACTGTTTTCCTTCAGCGCATCCCTGTGTCCAGATTTCCCCTTTTCACAAGGACAGTGCTCAAATTGGG